TGCATTTTAAGAGATGTTATCTATGTATTACTTTTAGTTCGCCATAATCATAAGTGCCTGGACACTGACGGTAACCACTTTGAGCACCTCTTGTGATTGCAGAAGTCAAACATGACTTGTATTCATCTCTTGCTATTGGTAATACATTGAGTATTACCATTTTTTTCCTCTCTTAAAATGTGTATACATTTGTTAGCACCCTCTGTGTAATCCAGCTTTGAAATTTTTCAGTAAAATGTTTTAGTTAAGCTTACCCAAAATAGTCTAAAAAGCCACAAGAATTCTTTCCTCTGTGTGTAGAGTAAGAACTGAAAAGTACTTATACCAGAAAACTGCTGCATTCTCATTATCTGGCCTGCTCGGGGACTAACCAACGTGTATCTGATGAGCAAGACTGTGTGTCCAAGGATAATCATCACTCATTGCTTCATTATTCATAACAGCAAGAAACAGAAGAAAAGTCATGTCCATCAACAGAGGAATGTTTTAAGTTACAGTACAGTTAAATCATAAAACAAGAATGAAATAGGTCCCCGCTTGTCTTGACCTGTTTAAGACTGCAAGAATGTTCATAATATCCATACAAATTGCAAAACTATGTATTTTTTAAAAATTAATATAGGTGCACACAGAAATGATCTAGCTTAACATACACCGATTAGCACTGATCCCAAGGTTTGTTCATATTGATAGTTTTTTTGTTTAGTCTGGTTTGCAAGCAGTTATTACTTTAATTCTAAGAATTATTTTTTAAAAATACACCAGCCCCAAGAAAAATGTAAGATTTCTATATTTTTTTCCTAGTACTACCAATATTTCCTGTGATTTGAAGTACAAACAAACGCTATACAAAATTATAATTCCTAAAGTAATACATAGTACAAATGTCTTAGGGTTTTTATACTTTAAAGGAAGTTTTTATTGGAAAATTTTTTACATAGGCTTTCACTTTTAACAAAAAGCTTGAAAGAAACATTAAATAAACTCACAAAAAGGAAAAAACATTGTCTTGCTCTGATTTAGAGTTTTTGTTGCTCTGTTTCAAAAGGCCAAAATAGGGCTGAGAGGAGGAGGAAATTTTTCCCAATGATCAAACTTACATTTATTCAGTAAGTTGGTTAAGATGGAAGACACTTACCCTAAATGCAAATGTTGCCTTTTGGGTAAAATCCATACTGTCTAGATGCAGTTCTGCTCAAATCAACTCACCATCCAAACGCCCGTTTTCAATCAGCAAAGACACAGGCATACACAATTTAACCTACAATGCAAATTCTCAAAATTGAGAAATTTAAACACACTAAACAGGTAAATAAATAAGCCTACATATCAACTGACACTGTCACTTCTAGTATTGAGGCAAATAACAATAAATGCAAAATTCTCATGTACGCTCAGTCCTATAGCCTTAAAAACAAAAATACATTCTCATATTAGATTTAAATATGAAATATTCCAAATCACTGCTACAGGAGGAAACAATCGGCATATTCATTCCGATTTCAGTTACCACTGTGAACCTTAACCATTTGCAAGCTTTTAAAACCATCTGAAACACTACAGATTGAGCATCTCAAATCCAAAAGTTTTTGAGTGCAGACATCATGCTCAAAGAAAATATTAATTTAAGGATTTTGGATGTCAGATTTGAGATACTCAATTGGTAAGTATAACGCAATCACTCCAAAGTCAGAAAAATATCTGAAATCCAAACCACTTCTGGTCCCAAGCATTTGAGGTAAGGGATATACATGTATCATCTTTGATAACCTTCCAAACCACTTCCCTCAATGATTACTAATGATTACCACTGAAATTACACTAAAAAAAGTACTGTAAATGCAAAAGACCTTCACATTAAGGGAGACATAAAATAGAAGGTTCACTCTGATTTTGTCATTCTTTCTAATTAAAACGTGGCACAAAATTGTATTTAATACTGACTAGGCTCTGTACCCCTCCTCCCATGAATTATTGTTAAATTTGAGTATTGTTCAGATGTTTCTCATAGGTGAAAGAAGTCAAAACATAATCAGTTGTCTCCCCCTCCCCAAAATGTTTGCATGAAAACTGACAAGAGGAATCTAAGAAAAACTAAAATATCATTATGCTTTTATCCTCATTAAATAGTCCAGATTATAGAAATTTGTAAGGGTAGACACATAACTGAAGTTTTAAGACCATGAGCAGGTTGCTTTTCTAGTTAACAGAAAATCCTTTGACGCAACTTATATGCCAATATTTTAGAAGTCCCTATGTTAAACACGAAATGACTGCAACAACCTTATTGGTCTTCCAAAGATGGTCTATTCCAACTGACCTAGAATACTTCCGCCAGAACTGAATTAAGTCAAGCAGAGGCATACTTAACAATTATAATGAAAACTTTAAGATAATCATTTTTTGTATCCTAGAGACCACCAAAATGCCGGACCAAATCACCAAATGAGGTAGCCCACATGTAGTATGTGTAACCAAAGTTTAAAAAAAAATTATGGAAATTGTAAAACTATCTGAGAGCAAAGAATTTGACAGTGTGTTTATTTAATGTGCAAAAACTTCTATCCCATTTATTTCAGTATTTGTACCAGTAGTCCTTTTGCCAAAGTGACTACTGAGCAGCCATAACTTAGCCTAGCAATCTTAACCTTTTTCACACTTCCTTAAAAGTAGAGCTCTGGCAATTAGCACAAAAATTTTGGCAAACAAGAGCTAAAAAAATAATGGGTCAATATTATTCTTTCACCTTAAACCCAAAAGCTTTAGTATAGCTTTGGACTTTCAACATCAAGATTTAAGTCAAATATTTTATCATAACATTAAAGCAAGTTAAGCATACTAGATGAATACGTACTCTGAACCCACCCACCAGGTTATACATACTCTCACTCAATCATGTAAAGAATTGAATTCTTTATTTGTGATATCGGTAAACGTTGCTATTCTATATTTCTATCCATGAAGGCAATTTTTTCCTATTATCAGTTTTGTTTTCTTCTTATAAACAACTTGAATTCTACTGCATGAAAGGGCTACAAATATACATTTGTTGACCGAGCAGAATACACAGATATTTTGCTTTACAACTTGCACCTAAGATACCAGTACACGTAACTGGTTCATTAGTTGTCATAGCAATCTGGGGCTATTGCCGAAGCTATGCATAGCAGTTTACATTTGCAAATCTCATGTAGAAAGGGCGATTGTGGTATGGACTGATAACTACATTCCTGTGAAGCCCATCTCACTTACAAGTAAAAGTGTAACTTCCAAGTCTACAAAGATTTTTTTTTTAATGTCAAACTTCTAAATCTGATGCAATTGTTCTAACAAGTTTTAGACAAATGGTTTTGCAGCTATACTGCCATTCTGCCAGAAGATGGTGCTACAAAGGTTGGGAAAAGGATTTCCAAGAGGACAACAGTTCAGATATAGGAAAAACGTTTAAACCTGCTCTGAAAATACAAAAAAGCATTTAGTTCAAGGGTACATATAACCCTTATTTGTAACCATTCATTACAGACAAACCAGTAAGAATGAAAACTAGGCCATCTGAAAAATTTTAAACAGTTTATATGAATGAAAACACATGCTTAACACAAACTATTAAGAACTACACAGTACATAGCTTGAAGTAAACTGCCGAATAATTGACCAACCATGTCAAGATGATAAGCAAATTGCTTAATACAAAGATGGATGTACAGAAACTTAAAAGTTAAGATTTTTAAAAGCCACATCCACCACTTCAAAAATTTTGCCTGTAAGGGATAAAATTCAACACACCACTAAGCAGGGCAACAGGGGGAAAAAAAACCCACAGGACCTCTTCAAACCTTCTCTAAGTACACATCCAAGAATTAAGAATTAACACGAAAAACCTTAAACTAATAATATCCCTTAAACCGGTACGGAATGGATCCTAGAAAAGAAATGTTAGACATGTACGGTCAAACACAATGATTTATTAAAAATAAAACGTAAAAATGATTTTTGTACATATGCTTCCAAATTTCAGGCATGGGATCCGAGTAAGTTTCATAGAAAACGCTGTAGCCAGGTATCAAGTCCTTACAACAAAGTAAACTACCCCCCTCCCCCCCGTCCCAACCCCCGCCCCGGTTTTGCTACAGAATCAGCAAGTTCACTCCCTCCCTCCCCAAAAAACACAAATTAAAACAAGACATTTTGCTAGTATAAAAACGACCAAGGTCCAAGTAATAATAAAAAAATAGAGTCCATCAATGACTGTAACACAAAAATGTGTATGTGGGGCCGAGTCCATCTTCAGAGGGAGACGAGAGAGGTGGCAGGCAAGTAGGGGGACGTCCCCTAGGCGGGCCGCCTCCGAAGCGGCTCCCGGGGCACACGGGGAGGGCGGCGGGGAGGCGCCGGGACCGGGCC